GGAATGTGCGATTGTGTTGGCCAAGGCTGTGCCAGGATGCGATAGCAGTCTCCTGGGTCCTGTGGTATTTCAATTGATGCCTTTAGAAGAAGCTCCTTTGATTCTTCAGGCCTGTTGTAGAGGTTGCTTCTGAAACTCACTGGCATGTTTCCAGTCAGCTTGCCAATGATAGTCCTTTAGTCTTTCCTATTCTTGCTTTTCTGTCATTCCTTCCCTTGGCCCTGCAGTTTTGGTTTAGTGCCACCTCCCAGATTAGAGGTAGTTTCTTTCAGAAGCTATCACAGGTTTTTATTGGGACGTGATCTCTTTTCAAAGTCCTGGTACTACTTCTTTCCAAGCAGTGGTACTTCCTTGAACCCGGGCTAACAACACAGTTCCTGCTTTCTGAATACATTGGTTTTATTTCCTGGCCCAGCTCCCCTTCTGCCCACTTTTCCGTTACAGAGTTCATAAACTTTTCCAGCCTTTCCATAGGTCTTCGCATCTCTCATGTTGATTGTAGAACTTGCCTGCTGTAGTTAGAGTTGGGAGTTACTCTCTATGTGAAAGTTTATTCTTAGTTTTTTGCAGTCTGTGTGCTAATTCAGGTTGCTTTGAAGTTTGCCTTGCCTTACAGCAATGCTGGATTAGGGTTAGCCTTCAGAGTTTGGATTAATTTGAGAAATGATGTCCAGAAGGCAAAATCATTTTACAAATTACCTTCTTCAAGATTTTGCACACAAGTGAGTCTCACCCATCTGGGGTTTATCTCAGCTCTGGTTGGAGAGTTAAGATTTTAGTCTGTTGAAAAATCCACATACAGACGCTTTCAGAAGATTGCTCATGGGAAATTAGTGTTAATGACAGAGAGGGCAGGTGGAAGATTCTTGCAGTGAAGGTTAATGTAATTGTGACCCTTGCTGCTCACCTGTTTTTTGAGGAGTGGAATGTTTCAGGTTTTTTAAAAGTCATTTCTCAGGAGGCTGTGAAACATAGCCACGCTAGCATAAGCTGCTCACTTTGATTTTACATTCTTTATAATGGATTTGGTGCAGAGATAGAAAAGACCTATCATGCCTTCATGAAACGTATGCAAAGTCCCTGAGATCTCAAGTGTGAACGAGACCTAAGGAACAGGCTAGAAATGTATTTCTGTAGTATTGCAGGAACAAGGTTTGGTGGCGTGTATGCTTGTAAACACACAGATATCTTGGGGAAGTACCGTTTTCTTGGGAATTTTTGTGATAAATGCAAAGCAGTGAATGTTGGTTGTGTAGTACATATGCCTCACAGTCAAATACCTCCCAGAGCCCTTCCAAGTGAGCAGGTCTTAGGAAAGATAAAAATTGAAGCTGATGTGGGAGAAAGGGACAAGAAAGGCTTGGGATAGCAAGCTGCAAATTGAGAGCCTAAAGCATTAGGTGGATGGAGTTGCAACAGAGGGGTTATTACGAGAGAGAGCTTGGGTACTGTAGGAGGTGTTAAGGCTACCGCAGCGCTGCTCTTGGAAACCTGCTTGGCAAGTAGGGCATAGATGAAGACTTGGGTATGCTTCCAGAAATGTTCTTCAGCCGTGTTTGTCAACAAATTACAGTGCTGGCAGCAATGGGTATCTGCCATTTTGGATTCCAGAAGAGCTGATGGAGCAGACTGATGAGGGAAGGTTAGCTACTTTCTCGTCAAGCTTGAAGCAGAGCCCAACAGTTGTCTCTGTGGCAGCTCCAGTGTGCTGGGCGCAGGGCCTTGAGGTTCAGCTCACTCTCTTTCTGCTCACTGGTCAAGGTGAAAGTCCAGACCTCTCCCCTTTGCTCACCACCTTGGAGCAGTTGGAGAGGGCTTGACTTAAGGTACCTCTAAAGGTCCCTTCCAACACAAACCACTCTATGATTAAGGGCTGAAAAAATGCCTTAATGTGAAAGAGTTAGATAAGAGACACAGCTGAAGTCTGTGAGGTACAAGGGGTCAGACTTACGAGATCTTGTGATCCCTTCCACTTGTAGGCTCTCAGGAGTCTAGCGGGCTGATTCTAGCAGTAGGGAAAAGGCTCCAGGTTCACCTTCTCTTCAGGATGGAGTTACACCAACATCTTCTCTGTTGGCAACGCCAATCTAAGAAGCTATATTTGCTGCTGCTGCCTGCTCTCAGACTACCACCTTCTTGTACTGCTGGTATTGTTTGAAGAGGGACCTCAAAGTGGGTCACTGAAATGATTCCAGTTTAAAAGTTTTTCTCTTAACCCGAGTCATTCCAATGACCTCATTTACAGAGCTCCCCTCCCACTGAAGAGTTGTGTTGGCATAGCACTGCAACGGCAGCACGAGAGGCAGAGGGCTGGGGATGGGTGGGGAGGGTGAGCACTGTGGAGCCTATTGAAGCAAGTAACCACACGCTGAATGCAGCTTTCCCAGGGGAAGGGTGGGAGAAGTGAGGTCAGAGCAGTGCGTGAGAACACAGGAAGGAAAGAGGGAATTAGAGTTGTATGGTGGGGGATCTACATCAAGCCTTTGGTCTTGTCCCCACCCATGGTTCTCCATTTCTGTCCTCCTTCACAAAGCGATCCCTTGAGATGTTACCTTCACTTGCCTCCCATAAACCCTGGAAATGAACTTGTTTGTTTGATTATCCCCCTGCCAAAAGGGCATCCTGATGCACCTTTCCTGCCACAATGTACCGATGTGGTGCTGAAATGAGGCAAACTCGATCCTTCCGGATATGCGTACACCTTTCATCATCCCAAAGCAGCTTTGCCAACTCACTCCAACTAATCCCTCCATTGTGAGTAGAGTTGTGTTAATAACTAGCAGCAGCTGGAGGGCATGTGAAAAAATGCTATAGTTCACACCTATAACATAGTGTAAGTGATGCTGTGTTTTCTTAGTTTTCTTCATGACTCCTTATTATGGCACTTTTGTGTTGAACTGCTTATACTAACCTGCTTCTGTTCCAGGGCAGGAGGTAGGTAAAGCTACAATGAGGGTAGCTGCAACTCAGCTCTGAGCTTTTCTGGAAAAGATTGGAGATCCAGGGGACTTTCTCTAGAATCAGTGTCCTCTTCCTTCAAAGCTGGCATGTCTTTCTCCCTAACGCAGATGTCGGTGGGCCTCATCTTTTGACACTTCAGAGTTCTCTTGCCCTTTGTTGGCTTTTCTAGGCTCATTTATATCACTGACATTTTCACTGCTTGCTTTAGTGGCTCCTCCAGTGGCCTGCCCCTCATTCTGCAAATCAGTCAGGGCTTGGTTTCTAGTTCCATGGCTCTTCTGCTGGCTGGACTTCAATGGATTTTTGGGTTAAATCTCTGCAGTGAAGACCTGTAAATTTCCTATGAATAGACATAAATATAAAAACCTGACTGACCCTTTTGTATTGCCTCTAGGTGGTAATGAAGGAAAACTGAGAGTTTGAGCTTATAACTAACACAGTCTTTACTAAAGCAGTATATAAACTAACAAGTGAAGAAGGAATTTGATAGAGCAGGAAAGGAGATATGTGTGTCCCTGTGGCTCAGGTTGATAGCACCAGTTTAAGAAGCAGCAGCCAGATCAAACCAGAATACGCTAAGCCTCCCTAAGCGCCAGTTACCCTAAAGATGTATTTTTTAATTATTCTGTTATATCTTTCCTCAAAGCCTTTAGTTCCAAAGTCGCATAAAGGAAGGCTTTGTGTTTTTTCTCCCCTGGCAAATCCCTAAAGCACTTTGATAAGAAAGGAAGAGGAAGTAGCAATTGCTACAAGGCATACGTGTGTTTACAGTGCTATATTGTTCAAGAAGATCCTTGTGAATCCCAGTTTTGGTGTAGATGAACTCAGCCTCTGAGCATCTGTGTCAAGAGGTTGTACACCTGGCTGCAGCTCCCATCTTTGGGCTTTAGGGAAAGTCTATCTGGTGCAGAAAGTCCATGACCCTCCTTCATACCACCCTGGTAGCAAACTGGAACCTGGACTGTGTCTGATGTGTTCAGTCCTTGAGCTCTTCTGGAAAAGAAATACAGCTTTGACATACTATGTAAACAAACAAAAAGGTGTTTGCACACTTCTTTGTGGAGAAACAATTGAGCTGTAATTGATGCTGCTTGCACGGTGTGTTTCTTCAGCCAGAAACTTGCCTGGAGCCAGGAGTGACTTTGGAGGTTTCCCATGCTCGGGCACCGTCAGTCAGTGCTGGCTGTGAAGGAGCCCAGCTACGCTGGTGCCAAGTGTCCAAACTTCTGGTTGGGATGTGAGGTCAGGTGCCTGACATCTCTGCCGAATGCTTCCCTTTCACAGTGCCATCAGGGCGACCCTGCAGTCTTCTCGCTGTCCCACAGTGTGATTGCCAAACCTGGTGAGACCAAGCCAGCTCACCTTTCTGCCTGTCTTGATCAAAACAGTCCTGGCTGCCCAGACTTGATGTACACGCCTGATGTGCAGAATGCAGGCAAAGTCCAAGACTCACCACATCTTCATCATGTGCACCTGAAGAAAGCAGTCTGCACCTGAGTACTGCCTTCTGAGTGTGCAACAGAAACTTCCAGCTTTGCGATGAGAGTGGGCAGAGGACTTCTGAAATAAATTTAAGAAAAAGCTGCTAAAACATCAAAGATTAGACCTTAGTGTCAAAGAGATGCTAATGAAAAATCTTATCTGCGGACCTAAGGAAAAAGGAGGATGCATTTAAATATGTCAAGACCACCAGGGTATAAGAGTGGTTCACACATGAAGCTGGGCAAAGGTGATTAACCTGTCAATTATGATGAGTAAAGGCAGAACCATTCAGTTAAGTATTTGTTTCATTTATTTGGGTAAAGGTAGAATGATGTCCCATTTTACAGCAACAGTGAAATACTTTCTGTATTTTTATTAGTAATTGTGAGGGTGTTAAATGACAATCAGATGTCTTTTTAAATCAGTAAGCACTGAAAAGTATTTAAAGAGTTAAACAGAGAGTTCTTTTTGTTATTACTGTTTGCTTTTTAACCTTTCTTGGAATGTTGGATAGAACAGCAAATTTTGTGCCATTCCTGGAGAAGTATGGCAGATGACAAAAAGGTGGCTGTAAGTTGATTAGCTCGGTTTTGCAGGAAAAATCTTGGAAAGTTAGGTCTGGAACAGAGTAGGATGGCAGCGTAATTGATGTCAGTTATCTTGGATTTTGTGGAAATGAAATCTTTTCATGTGGATGGAGGTGGGTTTTTTTAGATGAACTAGAAGCTTGATTGATAAAGGTAACCTTTTTAAGATAGGCATTAGTTATTTGTCTCAGTCCATTATATTCAGATTCTACACAACACCGTTGTAGACATATCCTTTTTAGGAATGGGATATGTCACACAGCTTTAAAAAGTTACTTGTCAGGGTTAAGAATTAATCCTTTAGTGACACTTCTAGTGTAATCCTGCTGGCAGGTGGTCACAGCGGTTAAGACCGATCTGTAGGAAATGTAAAATTACACTAGGAAAATTTGCTAGAGCCAAAGACTGCAGAAGTATGGAGTAGGAGGACTGGGTCAACCTAGGCCTTTTCGTAGGGCCCTTTTCTGAGCAGTCCTTTACTGGAGCCAAATCAAAAGTTGGGCATCTCAGAGGTGACAATAGATCGTGCTTACAAGATGAGGGTTATATTCTGCAAACGAATGGCTATAAAAAGAGCATTGGAATGATGTACATAAAATCTCTGTGTAAAAGGGACCGTGCTTTGAGCTGCATTAGCTCCGCATGCTGGTCTTCCAGAGTCAGTGATTTGGAGATTTGGGGAGAAGTTGAAAACAGTTCAGAGAGGTACTGCAGATGTGACTCAAGATCTAGGAGTGCTGCCATACCATAAGAGATGTGATGAGCTTGCTCAGGTTTGTATGGTCAAGAGAAAATTAAGAATGGGCTTTGATCAGTCTACAAGTACTGTGTGGGAACAGGGCCATGAAGAGAGAGGCTGCTTGGAACAGCTTTGGCTAGCGGAACTGGTTCTTTTATCTCGTGTGTAGCAGCTCATGCTCACCAGTCTGACCCATGACTGATTATCCACGTAGAAGCAGATGTTTACACACAGTGGTTTGTCAGTAAGTGGATCGCATGCAGATGTGGAAGGGACTGCTGACAGTAGATGGTGCTTTAATTTAGCAGAAAAGGGAAGAATGCATTAAGTTGTTTGAGAATGAAACAAATACATCTGTATTCAAAATTGGTAAGAGATAGCATCCAAAGAGTAAGTGGGAAAGGGATAGAGGGGAGTATCTGTGGCTTGCAGCCTTTGGATTTCAGCATGGTATTCTTCAAAACATAAAATTAAGAAAAGTCATGGAGCAGGGTCAACTGGGTAGAGAAATTACAGTATTTCACCCGGCAGTCTGTTGTTTAGAAGGTCAAACTTTCTTATCGTAATCATCAAAAGAGTGTATTTTCACCTGAAATTTCACTTGGCCAGAACTGAACTATGTCTTTTTTCCCCTCCTGCAGCACCTTTTCCTTAAAGGTTTCAACAAAGCTGTTACCATCTTTGTCATTTGGTTGGGTGTACTTGAGGCTGACTCTTTC